TCAGCAAAAAAAAGTCGCGGCCGCGGAGGATGGTCGCGGTCGCGGAGCTCGCGTTTTCAGCAATTATAATAGCAGATTTTAGAATCGTTTGAGATTATTCTCTCCCTTCTGGGAGACGAACCCTAGGCCAGAGAAAACACAGAAAACTCCATCCTTCTTTTCCTTTCTTCCTTCTTCTTTCATCTTTCTCTTCCATTTTTTCTTCCTCTTTTTCTTAGAATTCAAGGATTAAGCTTGTAATTCAAATTCAACATTTGGAAGTGCGATTTATTGTAAGTTATTCTCTTTATTTTTAACTCATGAATAATGGTTGAATTGAAAGAGATGATGAATTATGTTGAATTGATATTGCTTAGCTAATTCTGATTGCTAGGGATAGGGGATGATTGTTTATGTTTAACATGTATCTCTCGGGCTTGAATTGTTCGTTCTTATGTGCATTTTTTTGATGAGGAATTGATGAATTTGTATTCGATAGATTGATATAATCGAAAAGTGACATTTCGATCTTGCATTTTGAAACAATTGAATGTTAGTTTGTCGAGTTAGGATTTGTTGATTTTATATGATTAGTTGATTAAACACCTTCTAGTTAAATTAGCGACTTTTTGAACCGAAAGGGGAGAAGTCTTAGACCTAGGCTCACATGAGGTAAACGATGTCGTAATTGACTAATCTACGTGTTTTAGATTGAAATACACACTTGTCGATAACCCATCCCTTGTTACGAAAAGTTATTGGGATTGGGATAATTGGCCTGTTTGTATGCTTGAACTTGTTCGTCTATGTTCAATCCCTTGTTACGAAGAGTTATTGGGAGCGAACCGCTAGATGTCTAAGCGAGAGTGTCAATCTCGAACCGAACAATGAATTGCCCGGTTTTGCTAGAACTTGAATTAATTGTCCCTGACTCCCTAGCTTCTCATCAGCGTGTCGTTCTTAGTTTAGGTAGATTTATATTTTTGCATGTTCTTAATTTCTTAGTTGATAATATCCAATTCATCTTGATTAGAGTGTTAGGATTTATTTTGCTTTCGTGTGTTATCAATATCGAACCTAAATTCCGAACTGCCTTTCTCGAGAGATCGACCCGGGAAACGAATCCTTCGATTCGGTGCTCGGTAAATAATAATAATTTGTACACAACAGTATTGGTAGATCAAAAAAGGAGTCCTTTGAGTTTATCCTTAAAGCTGTTAGAGACAGATTGGTAAGTTGGAAAAATCAGTTTCTCTCAGATGCTGGTAAGGAGGTCTTAATGAAGGCTGTGTTGGGAGCCCTTCTTGTCTTTTCCTTGTCTTGCTTCTGTCTTCCCATAAGCATTTGCAATGAGATATCTAGACTGTCTGTTGTGTTTTGGTGGAATAAGGGAGATATGCAGAAGGGTATGCACTGGAAACAATGAAAATTTTTGACTCTGCCTAAGTCTGCTGGGGGTCTTGGGTTTAGAGATGTTCCTTTTATTTAATGAGTCCCTTATTCTCAAACAGTTGTGGAGGTTGGTCACCAATCCCAACTTGCTTGTTTCCAGAGTCTTAAAGGGAAAAGACTAATATGACTGTTCCATCTTGCAAGCTAAGAGGCCTTACAATATGTCCTGGCTTTGGAGCAACTGGATGAGGGTAAGAGATAAATTCAAGAACCATTTCAGAGTAGTGGTCAGACAGGGGAGGCACATCAACATCTAGAATGATCCATGGATTTATGGTAATATAGATAGTCTGCCTTTAAAGAATGATATTGGTATGAGGAGAGTGACTTGGGTGGTTGATTTAGTTCTTGATGATGGAAACCCTGGAACAGAACCTTGATTGAGGAATGTTTTCATCAAACAGATGTTGTGAAAATTCTGAAAATGACTTCTTTGGACCCCCTTCTGCATGACAATTGGAAATGGCTATTGGACCCTAAAGGTAAATTTTCCGTCTCTTGCTCATATTCTCATCTGGTTATGAACAAAGTTATGGATTTGGATATTGTTGAGGGAAGTGAGTCTACATCAAGAGATAAAGCTCTCAGATGTAGAAGTTGGAATTTGAAGGTTAAGCATAAGCTTATGCACTTCATCTGGAAGTGCTGCAATCACACACTCCCAACTAGCCTTAATCTGCATAAAAGGGGTATGGATGTTGATCCCAGATGCTCTAGTTGTGGTGAGGCTTTGGAGTCCATTGAGCATGTGTTATTTCAATGTGAAAGATCCTTGAGAATTTGGAAGCTGGCACTAGTCCATTTGTCAACAGATATTAACAGCATAACATTTAAGCATTGGTGGAACCATGTTTGCTCTGTGGACAAGACTGAAATCTCTGAATCTAGAATTGAGCTAACAACCTACACTCTATGCTGGTTGTGGAAGGCTCGTAACCTTTAGAAATTTCAAGCAGTTTGGCTCCCTGATCAAACAATTCTGAAAGCAGCCCAAGGTGACTGGATGGAATTTAAATCAAGCAGACAGAAGATGGAGTAGCTCTCAGGAAGATAATGTTCACTAGGTCCTTTGGTTCAGTTGTGTCATTATTCTTTCTTGTATTTTCAATATTCTGTTTGTTCTTTTTAGTTTGTTCGTTTTGTTGTTAAGCTCATGTTTCATGTCTTGATTTTGTTCTTGTGAGAGTGTTGCTTGTTCAGTTAAAGGTCCCAGCATGCCTGTCTTTACCTGTTACTGTTGGTTAGTTTGCTGGC